GGGGAGCGTCCCCCTGCTCGGGGGGAGACCGCCGCTGCTGGCAGAGGGACCGGCGTGGTCACCTGCGGTCGCTTGCTCCTAAGGGGGCACTGAAGGGAGAGGGGAAGGTGCTCGGTCGCATTAGGGTGTGCTGTCTGGAAACTCGGGTCTTGCTTGATCCAAAAACGTCGTTGCAGTTTCATTTCTTAATTTAGTATTTTATAAACCAATACCGTTGTAAGAGGCTGGTATGACTTCATGAAGCGGTGTCTCATGCCACTTCGATCCCCAGCGATTTGGAGGTGACTGGTCTGTGTTTGATTATGGGTACAACCTCAAAAGCCTCACCCTGGTTACACTGTAAAGTTTGAAGAAGAAGTTATCGATACTTTTTAGTGTATTCTACTCAAGAAAAGGCTGTGGGGAATAAAGGACCATGTGTGTCTTTCACCATTTACACCCTGTCCCTTCCCCCCAGTCATCACGTTGACCACAATCACCTCTTGATTGTGGTCTCTTCTCAAATAAGTGTCCCATTTGTATTATGTGAGGTAGAGAACATGCTGCTGCGTTTGGAGAAATTGAAGGTCAGAGAACTGTACACTTTAGGTCCATAAATACTATTTAACTGTTCTGAAGCATGAAGATAAAACCTAAATCTTTTTTCAGAATGTTATGCTGACTTCTTCAGAGAAGACTTTGATGTGAAAGCTTACACCTCCCAGTCTATCCATCAGGCTGTGATAGCTGAGCAACTAGCAAAACTTGCCCAAGGTATTAGTCAGTTGGATAAAGAGCTTCATTTACAAGTAAGTTTAAAGCATACTCATTTTTCTGGGGTGGTTGACATAAACTAGTCAAGAGCACAGTAATCTTATGACCTTGTTGCTTCTGAAATTGCTGAAATTATAGTAACTAAAGGTACAACTTGCAGCAAGGCTAGTAGTGAGTCTCATACTTAACTCAGTCAAGCCTGCTCAATACTCTTACCGAGAAGCCATGTACTGCTTTGTTTTCAAGTTTCTGCAGCCCGTCTCTGTATACGTGGAAGTGCCACTCTCCCTTGTAAGGATGTTCCCTGACTCTTTCCAAATGATCATGTCAGCTATCAGGAACACTGGCCTGTGTATTGGAATGACAATTGTGAGAAGATAGGGAGTGATTTAACTTGCATCCTTTCATCCTGTGCTGGAGAGTAGCCTAGGCTCTCAGGCTTACCTTTAACTGGGCAGATATAACCTATGTTAACACACCTCCACACCTTCAGAAAGGCTTTTGAGTTTGGATTGTAGAAGGTGTTTTGGTAAAATCTATGCAGACACCACAAATCCACGGTGGACCTTGCAGTGAGAGCACATGCTACGTTTGTGTGTAGTTTCAACACCTGCTTCCTCCCTGCCCCAATTGGTAAATTCTTTGGGAACTAGTTTCTAAATGTCATAAGTAGAAAAGAAAATATTAAAAATGTGAATATACTACTGTGTGATTAATAAGCTTACATTTGCAATTCTTATTATATATGAAGGTATGTTGAAATGTGGTTGCTCTGCTGGCTTTAATTGTCAGCTTTGCTGCGTTTCTGACCCTCTTCTTGTTCTGAGCTTGCTGCTTTTGTGAATTAAAATGTGTTCTGAAAACCCTTTCCTCTTTAAGGTGTGGCTGCTTTTTCCTGTGTCTGCCTGATATAGGGATGATGATGATGATATATTGTTATTCCTTTCAGACATACATCTCCATTTTTCTGTGTTGATTTTTCTGTTCTGTTTTTTTTAAGGTTGTTGCAAGACATGAAGACCTGTTGGCCCAAGCAACTGGAATTGAATCCCTGGAAGGTAAGTACCATTATATTATGCTTGCTGCTTCTTACAATGGAGGAAGAGCTTTTAATACCTGTGCAGGGAACGTCATTCACTGCCACTTTGGCCCCTAATATTAAGGCTGTGGATCTTCTGAGGAATAACATGCGGCAGCTTTTTTTGATGTCAGTAGATGGAGCTCCAGGGAGAAAATTTGGCTGGTACTTCTCTGGAGTAACTGCTTCTTAGGAAAACATATTTTGATAATGAGCAACTTTAGCAATCAAGTCTTTTTGACCTTTTAATATATTTTTCTGAATAAGCCTAATTTTGTTGCAACATTAGCTGATATCTGTTGCCGTAAGTACCGAGTTTATGCATGTTGCATATGCATATGTTGTTGCATAGTTTGCAAATCTTAACCAGAGAGTCTTTAACACGTAATCTTAACTGCATTGAGGTATTTGTTTCGTAGTAAGTGGCTACTAATTTAAATACATGCCTTTGTGTTATTCCACTGTTTGGGAGCTGGATTTTAATATAAACTGCTGACTTTCAAAGGCCTTGCTTAGGAACCATTGAATCTGTATAGAAAAATGATTGCAGTATATTGTTCTTGTGCCAGGAGTTCATTAGACTTGCCATTCTGTTCTTTGTCACTTGCTGAGAACTTCATATGGTTTTTGGTTTTTTTTGTGCAGAAAGGTATTTACCTCTATAACATGCTAGTTTGCATATACTGTGGGATCCATTCATATCCCCTTTTCCCCTTCCATTTTGTAACTTGCTAAGTAATTTATCTTTGTTCCTTCTGCTTCCATGTTTTGGCATAATCAGAGAGTTTCTGGTTACTGACAGTTATAGTATCTCCTTAGTCTTTGGAACTTATTGGATACAGTATTTACTTGTTGGCATTTGCATGTAGCTATAAAAATAAATAAATGCCTATTTATAATCTAGCTCCCGAATAGCTTTTTAAACAGTTAGAAAATTAAGCATAGGAGGACTGGAATCTGTGTTCATCCTCCAATTAAGAAGTCTAGAGGAATCTGTAGTCAATCTTGTGATTGATAAATACCTCCCAGTCACGATCTTCAGCAATTTGTGCTCAGTGGAATTGTGTTTTCTGACATCATGGTTGTTTCTGAAGGCATTCCTTCCTAAAATTGCTCTGAGGAAAGAATGAAGTACTTCAAAAAAACTACTCAGTTATAAGACATTTCTATAACATAGCTGTGGTAAATAACATGTGTTTTACAGCTAATAACCCAAAGTAGAAATAAAATCTAATTCACTTCAAGTTTCTTGAAACTTCTCCACTTACTTAGGGTTCTGCTCTTAAAGAGGCTTTTTCGGGGGGGGGAGGAAGGAGAAGTATGCAGAGGTTCTAATTGTGAAAAGTAGTTCATACTGGAGACATCAGTAGGAAATTCAGCTTGCAGTTGCCAGAAAGTCAAAAGTCTATGCACACAAAGATGATGTTTTAACTTTTGCAAAACTTTCTTATCTCTTCCCTGCTTGTACTACATGTGATATATGGTCACTGTAGAAGAAGCACTGAGTCAAAATTCATAAGAAAAAGAAAAGATGGATATCAATAGAAATTTCAGTTATTAAGTTAGAAACGCATAGCTCTTGGTATGTTTATGAAGCAAGTCAGCACATGAAGATTATGGAGCTAATTCACAGCATGCACAATCATTTGGACGTGTGGAAGTGAATCTCATTAAATGTTTCAAATTTATATACCCAGCTCGTAGAGTCCTTTCTTTTTTAGGTCTGCACACTTTTCTAATGGTACACTGATCTGGTATGCATACTCTTCTGTCTATAAGTAGCTCAGTAGATATCTTGAGCTACCTGTTAGCTCAAGAGGGGCTAAATACTATCACCCTAAATCTTACGCAGCAGATGGAGAGGGTAGATTGCCTTTTCACCCATCCTAATTCCGCCTTCTGGCAAGAGGGCTGCTGTATGCTTTATAGCAATGTCACAATCATAGATGCAGCAATGTCATGCTACTGCCTCTCCCCCATTATTGTAATGTAGAGTAGAAAATTAAACCTGTTTTGCCAACTTTTTACTCTATCTCATATCTTCATCCTCTGATGTGTGAGAATTGCATGCCTACCATTCCATGTATAAATGTCAGAGAACTCCTGAGCCTGTCACTAAGCCAAGTTAATAATTATGAAATATGGAGAAGATGGGAGCTGGCATATTTATACAAAATATGTGAGGTACAGTCCCAGTACAGGACAAGCTGAATAAAACTATTAGCAGCAGTTATGTATATCTTCCATCTTACTGTATCACATCGGAGTTTTATCCAATTTAATGGTGACATGCTTGTAAATAGGGCTTTAAAAAAATATAGTATGTTTGAGAATGCTAACAATAACTGGAACAAAAATAATTTCATAGGCCTGGGTTTGCGTAACTTAATTAAATTCTCAGCAGGCTGATTCCATATTGCAAAAATGACTGCTACCCTTGCCTACTTTATTTGCAATTTAACAACAAAAAAAAAAAGAACAAACATGCTTGTGGGCTTTCTTTGTGCTGCTTTGCCAAACTAATCTGGAATAAACATGATTAGGGCAGTTTGCTCTGTTTGTAATCTAAATTAGATGACCTCACAATGACATTGATACCTTACTTTTTGCTAAAGATGCTTATGCACAGGAAGAAAACCTTGAAATAGAATTGGTTATCTTCTCAGTCCTCTTTGTCTGTTGGTTTCTCTGAGCTGTCTAGTCACTGTGTTAAATAAAGTGTTAAAAAGGTAGTGCCATTTTTGTATATCATGATCAGATATTAGTAGCAGGTTATATGCCTTTGAACAGCATTCCTGATCATCATTCTCTTAGAAAGCAACATGCTCTAAATAGTACTTGAAACTTAACATATGATGAATTTTAGAGTGATATTTCTTCTGTAGGTTTGTACTCTCCACCAATAAATTTTCCATAACGTTCAGAAGTGACCTATTACCTGCTCAGTTTATTTCAAATATGCTGCACTTTATTCATTTCAGTCTGTTTGAATGCTTTGCTGTAAAGGGGGAAACGGTTTCTTTTTTATGCTGAAGTAGTCTGCAGTAGTTACTGCGATTTGACAAATAGTTCTTTCTATAATTGACAAGTGTTCCATGTAAAAAATATGCTTTGTTTTGCAGGTGTCCTCCAAATGATGCAGACTAGGATTGGTGCTCTACAGAGTACTGTTGATAGGTATGCCATTCATTATGTGGTTAGGAAGTATCAATTCTTAACTCTTCTATCATGTTATTTATTAATACTGCCATAAATAAATTTCTCTTCTTGTTTTTAGAATTAGAGTGAAAATTGTTGACCCCTACAACAAAATAGTGTCTCGCACAGCTCAGCTAGCAAAACTTCAAGTAAGTTGTGTTAAAAACATATTTAAAAAAAATCTTTTTGAACATCTATTGTTTCCCAGATGTCAGGCGTGGGTGAGATTTTCATACTCCAGTAGCCTGGACTTTGTTGTAAGTATTTCTTAATGACAATCAGTGTTTTTGTGTCTCTTCATGAGCTACTGGGAAGTGCTTCGCATTGCGAAGTGGGAGACGGACCTTTGTGCTAGTGAAGTGAGGTTTTGTAGAGATAGAGGGAAGAGGGAAGGGTTGTCTGAGTACAGATTAATTAAATTCTTATTACTGCTTGTGTAATTTTGGTGTTTAATGTTATGGTGCCATTGCGTAGAAGATGCTTTTCTCCTCTAAGTTAATGCATGCTTGGCTGCAGCTTAGTAAAGAGTTTGAGAATTTAATTCTTTCAAAATAGTCAAGATGCAACTTATGAATCCAATTGTGGTTCTGAAGTTTTATAAGGTACATAATTGTCCCTGCCTTTTGAATATAAGTGGAGTCTACAGGAGAATGTAGATCTCTGTTAGAGGATAGCAGTGGGAGAGAGCTTATTGCAGTGATGGCGAGATGAGCATCAAACACTAACATTGTTAATTTTATAATTGTTGAAAACTATTCCGTAGATCTTCAGTCATGTAACTGCATTCTATTCAGTTTATGGTTTGAAAAGCAGCACAACTCCAAATCCACAAGTGTTTAATGAGTTACTGTTTGAACTACTTGTCTTCACAAGTTTACCTTAGCTTTGCAGAACTAGGAACTTACCTTTTAGTAGCTGAAATTTGAGCTGTGGATATATGCTCAAGTAGATTGCCATCTGCAGGTGACTGCTGTTGTACAGCAGAGTAGATGAAGCTGCAAACTGTCATGCAGTTTCTAGTCTGGTGGAGCAGCTGCACTAGTCTCTCAGCTGAACTTCTACTATTTTTGACATTACTTTCAGTAGCAGTGAAGTTCAGCAGCAAGCTCTTAACACTCTGTTCAGCCAGTTTGTCCAGCTGCTTCTCCTGTTCTTTTCAGCTCCAGCTGTTACTGTTTATGCCACTGGGCAAAACTTTTATGACTTCCATGTGGCAGGTTAGGTGCAGATTTTATTTCTTCTCATATGTATGTTGCAGCTGTGGAAAGAGTTGTGGGAATTGGGGCTAAGGACCATTTCTTCCCTGACCTCACACAAAGTCAAAGTGCAGAAGGATGTCTGAGAAGAATGAGTCCCTAAACTTAGGAAATGTTTCTTGGTTGATCTTTGTGTCCTCTTTGCTGTAGCAGCATTACATGGATTTTCCTGTGGTGTGAAAGCAGCATGCATCCAGGGTCAGCATTACTCAGCCTGTGCCAGGGCATTTGTAATATCTGGCTTTTCTTGGCTGTAAGTCAGAAAACAGAGGTGCAGGGTAAGGGAAGCCTGCTGCATCCAAATCCACTTACTTATCTCAGTGTAGAAAGAGGAACAATGATTCAGCTTCTCTTGCCAGTGAGAGTTCATCCTTGGCACAAGAGCTGCTGTCATTTCTTCTATTGGGAGTGCTTTATGTTGCAGTATGCTGTTGGGAGGAGTTGAGGGTCAGGACACCTGAATTATGATATGAAGCTGGACTTAAGCAGAGTTGAGTCAATTGGCCTTTGAAATCTCAACTCCCCCCTGCCTCCCCAGGATGCACTGCTGTTGTGTCTCTTAACCTGGCTGCCTTGTTTGTTCAGGAAGAAAGGGCAACAGCACAGCAAACAATCCACTTCCTGGCGGTGGCAGGGCTTGTGACATGAAATTGCTCCCAAATGCGACTCATGGCATGGGACACTTTCAAACTTGCTCATTTTATCACTTGATGTGCAGTTGGTAGAATAAGTGGAAAAAGGTAGATGACTGATAAAAGAGGTTGCTCTCTCAAAATCTGTAGGGTTGGCAGGTATGTTTTCCTGAACTGTGTGGTGTTTAAGGGCCTCTTGTACTCATGATAGTATTATTTCAGTGCTTCTCCATTGATTGCTGTGGGACTGCTCACAAACTGAAGGAATATTTGGCTTGCATAAAGCTGGATTTTGCTGTCCTTAATTGTTTTTAATATAGTCTGGCTTTTTCATAAACATTCTCACTGCAAATTCATTGTCAAACTTCAAATCTAGTCCTGAATTCTAAATCTCTGCTGTGTGCTTGTGTATATTATGTCTGGTTCTGTTCTTAGAGCTTCATGTCATCCCAAGGGAACAGCAGACTCACAAAGCTTACTTCCTACTTTAAATGATACTGTCCTCTTCTGAGTCTTCTCATAGTAGATCACAAGCTAAGTGGGAATAGTTAATAGCTGAAATCTGTAGACAGAGTTTGTCTTTCAGAGGGTTATTTTCTGTGCAGCAGTATTTTACCAAGTGTTGGTACATGTTCTCTTAATTTCAGATATCTCAGTGTTTAAAAATCCTTTATAAGAGCCAAATTTTTCAAACCTTTGAAAAAAAAAATTATGTATTTTAAAGTTGTTCTCTTTTTAAAATATTCACCAGTAGCAGATTTCATCATAACTAAATAGTAAATGTAGTCTGAAGATAGTGGACTGTCTCATCTTTCTTCAGGCTTCTGTTATCTGTACATTCAATTACATTATGAGCTAGCAGATATATGCAATTGCATATATGAGCTATGCACTGGCACATTCTCAAGTGGTCCTCCCTTTATAATCAAGTCTTCTTTCAATAATTTCTTAAAATTAACTTGAGATTAGAAGTAAGAGGCTATTTGATTCCTCTAATTGTAGTGATAATGTCTGTTAGTGTTGAGATGTTGCGTTAAATTTCAGGAGGTAACTAACATGTCATCTCCAGAAAAATCGGGTTTTATTTTTAATTTTACTAAAACCACTGCGACTAACCTCAGGGCAGTGGCCTTTTCGAAATTACTTCTTGCTTGGAAAGTGGAATTCATTCCTTCTTGGATGAAAGTATCTCCTTTAGAAAAGCGTACTATATCAACTCAGGAAGGGAATGTTTCCTGAATTAATTCAAACTTCTGCTATGCAAGTGGTCAGGTTAGAGGATCTAGCATCTGTGAATGACTCCACTAGTAGATAAAGTTTTTTATTTCTATTACACAGTCCTCATATATTGCATTCTTACATAGTGACGGGGAGTTTTATTAAATTGAACAATTCATGTAAATGGAAATACTTGGGTGAAACAGAACCTTTGTCAAGGGCACAATGCAATGCAGTAGCAATCACTGTGAAGTTAGGAGCGTGTCCTCCATGTCTTTGGATTTTTCTCCTTCTTCTAATTCACAGGGCCAGAAGTTAAAACTTTTTTTTGGTCTTGTATCTAAATGTAACTTTTCCCATCTCTTATTCTGTTTGATTGTCCTTTTAAAAGATTATTTCTTGGGATAGGAGATAATGAGCAACAATCAAATGAAAAAGCAATAATCTTTTGGCATGTAAAGTAAAAGATGGTCGGAAGATAACTGAAGTTGAATTCCTAGGGAAAAACATTAGCCAGAGGTACACAGTTGGATTAGAGAGTAATTAAATTTGAAAACAAAGTAGTAATATTGTGCCCTCTTATTTAGCAAAGCACACTGCACTATATGAAAAGCTATTTTTGATTCATCTTGCAGAAACTTAGTTCACAGATATGAAAGTGATATGTGGATCAAGATTTTTCTAATTAAAGAAATGAATTAATAAAACCTAATATGTTAATCTCTCAAAGTAGGATAAGCCCCACTTGGTTCTCACTAATGGTAATAGAAATCATGTGGTTAAGTTGTCTCAGAATGCTTAGGAAACTTGCACTTCAGACTATGTGATACAGAGCCAAAAGCAGCAAGAGTAATTGTGCTTTCAGTGATTTGCCTCAGCGGGGCTTTTGATAATTTTTCCTTTTTGTTCTCTCTCAATGTTTAATAAAATTAAACTGTAAATATTTGTGTTTTCATTGGTTTGTGCTGGCATAAGGAAGAAACTGACAAGTTGCGTAGTCCACTGAAAATACCTCAGAACAACTGCGTCTTACTTGTTCCGAATTTCTCATTTACCTCTCTTGTTAATCCAATTGCAGATGTTGAACTGTACCTGTGACTGTACTGAGATCCACATACTTTTTTACCTTCTCCTGAATTGCATTTCTGAATTAGATGTTACCCACTCCAGAATGTTGCTTCTCCTGTAGTGTGTACCTCCTAGCCCCACTGACCCAATCCAGCCCTAGAGGAACTCTACACTTGATGTAATTCTTACTGTTTCTCTGTCTCTATTATTCACTGTGCAGAAGGAGAACCTGTTTCAAGATCTTAGTTGAATGAAGAATTATGAAACTACTATGTTTGCAGCTTACAACAGGAGGAATATTGAGGAGATGCATAATGTAAAAAAAAAAAGCTCACTTCTAGTTAGAAATAGAACACATCTCTGTCATAGGGTTCTGAGTTTCCTTTTCTTTTACTAGTAATGACAGCAAAATCTCAGTAGCCCCATGGGTGTAATTACCAGCTTTTGAAAGTATTGGTCTATATTCCATGAAATCATGTTAAAAAATCCTGAAAAAAAGGGATTTCAGTGTTCTGAAGTTCCTTGTTTTTATTCACATTCATATTTCCTTTTTTGCTTAAAGTATTTCCATATTTGAGTCCTAATAGTATGTGATCAAAATGTGCTGATAATATCCGCTAATGCTGCAATTTCTCTGCAGGCTGCCTGTGACTTGCTGCGGAGGATAATACGCATCTTGTATCTCAGTAAGAGACTTCAAGGACAACTGCAAGGAGGAAGCAGAGAGATAACAAAAGCTGCCCAGAGTCTCAATGAACTTGGTGAGTCTTTCTTAGTTACTTTTAGAGGCATTTTTAGCTTGCACTTGTATGACTCACACTAGCATTTGACTTAAAAAACAAAGAACACCCCAAAACTTTTTACTATAGTTATTGCTGTCTACTTCCTGATTTGAGTTGAGAAATGGTAGGGACAGAACTCATTAGTACCTTCAATTTTTTCATATGACTTTTGTAGATAAAGATATTTAATAACATGAAAATTCTGTGATAATAACTTGTGGGTTTTGGGTGACTTTTTTTTTGTGAAGCAATTAATTTCTTTTTGGTTTGGGTTTGTATAAAATGCCTTCAGAGGCAGCAGATATATATTTAGCTTTTGGAAGACGTTGCACTGCAATAAGGCATAGTTTGAATTACAGTTTACATCCTAAAAGAAAATTATTGGCCCTGTGACCTTTGCAAAAGCCGTATGTGATATGTTACACAGGTACCTAACCTAATGCAGATACTGGAAGCATTCTGCTGCAGTGACTAATTTACCCTGTATTTTGTATGATGAAACAGTTCTCATGAAGCTCGTGTTACGTTGCTAGATTGTTTTTTGTACTTGATGTAGCTTGGGAACTTCCACACTGTGCTGCAGGATGCAGTGAGGAACATCCCATTAGTCTTGGAGATCAGTCATTGGTGTTGTATATGGTATCTTGTCAGCTGTTTCTCCTTTGGTTTAATGGTATTCAAATTTTGGCTTCCAAAAATAGGTTGTAGGAGGGCTGAACTATCACACATCCAGAATCATCCTGAGGTTTATTGTGCATATTTGTCACTACTGCTTTTTTTATACTGTGTAATCAAAAGATTATTAGACAATGACTTAGTCTTATAATTAGCAGATGCTGTGTTGCAAATGGAAAGTTTTTATATTTATTTAATTATATCAGTTTGACTGAAGCATTTAAGCAATTGTGGCATTCTAAGCTAGAATATTTTTTCTAATTTTCTGGTTTTTTCTAATTTTTTATTTTCTTTCCATTTTGGTCTCCCCTCACATCTTCAGGATATATAAAGTAATACTGGCTTTTAACTACCTGAATTACAAGTCTTGTGGGATTAATCTGAATGCCAGATTCTATTAAAATAATTAATACAATTTAATAGTAAGATCTGAGATGTTTATCTTGTGTCGTTTTTAGGATTTCTTTCTTTAAAAAAAAAAAAGCCTTTTATTGCTTTTTCCTTTCACCAGTTTAAAAAAGAGCTTCCACTTTCTTCTGTTAAAGTGTCACAGTCTTTTGCATTTCTTGTTTTCAAGTACTTGGTGTTTTCCTGAAGCTTAGAAAAGTCTGAGTAATTATTATTGTTAAAGATGAAGGGAAACATGTTTCCTTAGGAAGTCCTTTTGAGTTTCATCTTGCAGTCCATAGGGGGGAACCAAGGCTTGTGGTCCTTAATTTAATCCTTAATTCTGGATGGTTTATGGCCAGGTAAAATCCCTTGTCTACTGTCATTTCTCTTCCCCCTCTCTTTTCCTGGTATCTCTTTCTTCTCTCTTACTTCTCCATCTGCATCCCTCCCTCATCTTTTGGCTCTCTGCTCTTCGTTATCCTCTGCTGCCTGCCTTGGCTGGTCTGAATTCTTATTGCCTCCCAGCTGACTGTGGCTCCCAGCACCCGGGGGGATGGGAATACCCCACTGGGGAGCAGCCGGTGTGGTGGACTGGAGGCATCTCTCCTGCGTGGTGAGGTGGTATGGGGCAGCGTGGCTAACGCAGCTATGGGGTAGCTCTGTTCAGAGGAGAGGGAAGTGCACAGTGGCTGGAGTCAACATGTTTCGGGGTACACCGTGGGAGTTGGTGGGAAGGTCGTGTGTTGCAGGGAGGCTGGATTTTGGGCTATGGCTGGGGAAGCGCTGTGCTGTGCTTCTTGCCTTGGAAAGCATTGGGATGTGTGGGAGGTCTGTAGGGTGGAGGTGGTGGTGGCATGGAGTAGGAGAGCAGTAATGGCTGTGGTGACTGGGCGTGAGGTTGTGGAAATGCTGTGCTTCAGAAAGATGGGAAATGTGATATAGCGCCCGGTGTGTTGGGAGGGTGGGAAGCATGGGGAACAGACACTGAGCACTGGTTATTTGGTGGTGAGATACAAAAGTTTTGGGAGGGCTTGGGAAGTACTACAACGTCTGATGGTAGTAAATGGGTGGTAGACATGAGTGGTGTGAAAGCCTGGCATTGGATAGGGAGCTCTGTGTCATGGAGGCTTGCTTTTGAATTGGGGATCATGGCCAAGATGACTAGTAATTTGTGGTTTTAGCCAGGTATTTCTGAATATTCCTTCTGGCTCCCATTCAGGAAAATTTTTTTCCCATTGTTTGCTACCTTTCTGTTGTACGTGTGGTGCAATATCATTTCTACTTTGTTGAAATCAGCAGCACTGTGATACTACCGTGAAAGCTTTGCACTTTCTATGGTATAATATACTTTCTATTGCTTATAGGTTATTCTGGGTGGAATCTTGGGATAATTGGCTACTTGTTTTTATGTACTGCTATACTCTGTGTGTATGTTTGGGGGACACAAATGTGTGTGCCCATTTAGGTGTATGTATTCAACATATATTTCCTCAGCAAGTCTATGTTAGTTCACTTGCAGCTTTTACTTAGATGTGTCTTTGCAGTGATGGGAAAAGCTATGATAAAAAATATAAAATCTTGGATTAGATTGGAATATGGGTCAATCAGAGGAACTACAAGAAACAATAACTTTTAATGAGAAGGGGTTTTTTAATTGGACACTTCGTTAAGTTGCTGGTAGTCTGCAGATCTCCAGCTTCAGTGGATGATGTTAGGAACTTTACTCTGAAACCATTTGGTAATGTTTTCAGTGAGATCTCTACTTTAGCTTAAAGTAGATCTAAAATTCCTCTGTGTTGGACTGTAACATTCTTTGAAATTATCTTCCCACTTTGGCACAGTAAGAAGAAAAACTGAATGCCCTATGTAAATTGTAGAGATTAACTGTGATTTGTGTGTGTGTATATATGTATAAATACCCCAAACTTTCTTCTGAAACTCCTCCACCAACCAACACGCTTCTTTGGGTTCTCTAGCAAAGTAGAAACAGAGCTGAGATAGTCCATTGAATAAGCTATTAGCTGCTTCTCTAGTGACAACTCTTCATATTCTACAATCCAACTCAGCATACGGATAGGTAAAGCAAGTGGCACAATCAGATGTCAGACAGTGCCTAATGCAGTGAATTACATGCCCTGATTGTGCTTCTTGGTGATACTTTAATACAAATATTTTATAAAGTGAAAAATAAACATTCTTAATCAAGTTGAAACAATAGAACGTGACAAGAAAATGGTACACTATATACAGTTCCCTTTCACAGAAGAAATTCCGCAGGTATTAAGAAATCTGCTGTCTTCTATATGGGTATGCAGAAATTGCTGTCAGTAACAGTGGCCAGTAACTGATGAGATGAAGATGAAAGAATTCTTAGTTGTGCAGTGAATGGCTAGTTTGGCTGTGGACAGGTCATTAATTAATCTATCAGTTATAGAGCTAACTGGACAACAAAGGATTTGTATCTCTTGCTTGTTAAATACCTATAACTGATGTCATCATTATTCATATAAATGCCTAGAATTCTTTTAATTATAATAAACTCCTAGTCTCTCTATATGGTTGTATTGTAATTTATTTCACAGCAAGTGAATTTATTTACTTGAATGACCTTGTGAGCATATAATGCTTGTAGGTAGGCTCTCACAGCAGCTGTAATTTTGCTCTTTTGTAAGCTCAGAGTTAGTCTGTGACTAAGCTGTGCAGCCATAAAATTAAGGGAAAGGAGTCTATTGAAATATGGGTTTGGGTGTCTTCAATATAGATGTTGCTCCAGGATGATACTACCTTACATGTAACTTATGAGAAGAGAGGATGGGGAAAGATAGGACTATGACCTTACTTTTAGAGAAAAGGAAAAAATATTGTCAGTTATGGAAGTCTAGCTAAAATGGAGAAAACCCTACATACATATTGTGTTCTTTATAAAGAGGGAGCAAAACTTACACATGGCAGTTATTTAGGCTTAACAACAGAAGACTTAAGGGAAATACACGGAAATAAAGCCCAATTTTGATGATACTTGTAAAGAAGTGCAGCTTGGATGGAGAAAACTGAAATTAGTGAGGATATGCATGATACTGGGTGAAATGTAATTTGAAAGAAGTTTTTTGGCTATGCCTGGAAGGCCTCTTTGCAGCAGGCATAATGTAGGTTCTGGTAGCCCTGTCTTCTAAAGTACACTCCAGAACTGGTGACATCTGCACAAAGGTGGCAGTGGTCTTGGGCCTGAAAAATTCTCTTGTGGAGGCTAGGAAAAAACTGGACTTAATGCCTTCCTAAGGTAAACAAGATGTGTTGTGATATCAAGAAAAAGCCTGGATATAGCCAGTATGTCTGTTAGAATAAAAATCAGACGAATGGGAGGAGGAAAGCGACCTCTTGTCTGCCTGCCTTAATGGGGATTGCATTCGTGGGACCTTGTCTCATCCAGTATTGAGGTATCTCTGTTTCAGTGTGCTTTTCTAGTGTTCCTAATACATGTAGTACCCCGGAGTTTCCACTGAAAGGGAATAGCATTGTAAAGATTGTGAAGTTATCTATAGTATTACATCTCTTGTCACCCAGTTTGTGTCATACAGTAATACAAAATAATGCTTGATAGAGGGAGAGAATGACATTTCTTTGTGAAAATTCACTGTTTCTTTTTACACTTGGTTCTTATGTGTTGTAGTTATGTCACATGGTCTGTGTTTTTCCCATCTTTCAAATTGCTTTTGACATTAAATAGAGCAAAATCTTTCCAAATATTCTAAACCTAAGGAGTCTATTTTTTTTTCTTCTTTTTCTCTGTTGGTGTTAAAACGTGGACCTATTACATAGAAAGGAGAGTCTGCTCATTTGTGTGCATATGTATGCATGTTTTGGTATATAAATATTTATAAAACCCAAACATAAACAATATGTATATTCATCCT